AGGATGTCAAGTGACACATCCACAGGTGCCATGACAGTTCTGAGACCAACTGTAAGAGGCCCCAAAGTGGGCCCAATTCCTAGAAATCCCCCCCTTCCCCGAAATAGTTGGAATAATCCTCTCACTCATTAGCCTATGAAATTACCCAACCCATAAAAACCAATCATGCTGTATTTTGCCTTCTGAGATGGTCCACACCTTGTCTGTGAAGTCTGTTTCTTTCTGAGTAAGCCCACTTCTTACATATCAGGTTGTGTCTCACTGAATTTGTCCTGTGACAAGACATCAAGAACCTGAACTTCATTAGAGTGTGTGATCTCAATTAAAGGACCATGGGGAACTTTTCTGGTGGTCCAGTGGTTGAGAACCTGCCTGCCAATCCAGGGGCCATGGGTTCAATCTCTGGTCCAAAAAGACTTCACATGCTGCAAGGCAGTTAAGCCAGTGTACCACAACTACTGGGCCTGCGTTCTAGAACCCTTGAACTGCAACAGCTGAAGCCTGAGCACCCTAGAGCCTGTGCTACGAAACGAGAAGCCACCACAATGAGAAGCCCGCACACTGCAATGAAGAGTAGCCCCTACTTGCTGAAACCAGAGAAAGCCCATGCACAGCGATGAAGACCCAGCACAGTCAAAATAAAAGTAAGTAAGTAACTAAAAGAAAAAAGACCGTGGGTTCAAGTCCCAATCTAACTTGCAGGTTTTCAGCTGGCGAGCCATGAAGGGACAGTGATAAGGTAAGAAAAGGTTGAGAATTAGGGGTTGGTCCTAGATTGGCTTGTGGGACACCACAAGCCAGATGTACCAGGGAGGATGCTCCGCTGATGTGTACCCATTTTTATGACTGGTCAACCCAGAATGCTTTGGGGCTCTGATGCAGAACCTAAGTCCAGACTAGAGGAATGATGGCAATTGACATGGTTTATTATAGAAAGATGGTGTGGAATGGCTATGCTTATGCACATCCAACAGCAGGTTGACAGAAATGTTGCAGAGATTTTGATAATTTATACTGTTCTGACTCTGAACTTTTCCTTCTGTGTTCATTCCTATTCCATTTCTTTCTTTTCTTTTCTTAACCCCAGAAAACTGGTGTGGCTACCAAGATGTACTTCCTGTTGACAAGGCATGTGTGCTAAGTTGCTTCAGTTATGTCTGACTTTTTGCGACTCCATGGACTGTAGCCCAGGCTCCTCTGCCCATGGGATTCTCCAGGCAAGAATACTGGAGTGGGTTGCCATGCCCACCTCCAGGCAATCTTCCGGACCTAGGGATCGAATCCGCGTCTCTTATGCCTCCTATTTTGGCAGGTGGGTTCTTTACCACTAGCGCTACCTGGGAAGCCCTCTGTTGACAAGTGCTGACCCTTTATTTCCAACTTGCAACTAGGTCAACTCCTGCTGATCATCCACACTGTGTGATACCTTCTGTACCATTCCTTTGCAACAACTTTTTGGGCACTAACATCTGGTTGGGAGACTACCTTGGAAGGGATAACATCTAAAATCATAAGTGCCTGGTGGATTTTTTCTTTTTTGCCACACCACACAGCTTGCAGGATCTTAGTGCCCCAACCAGGGACTGAAGCTGCACCCCCTACATTGGAAGTGCAGAATCCTGACTACTAGACTGCCAGGGAAGGAAATGGTGAATTTTGACAGCAGAATGAAACCTATAGATAGCACAGGAGTTAGCCACATCACCTCAGGTTCGGGTCTGAAACGGGTCAGGCTGTATCAATCCTGTCCCCCCTGGGCCATATACTCTGGGATGGGATTGGGAAAAATTAAGACAATAGGAATTAAAACAGAAAAAAACTACTAGCTTATGTAATCTGATTTGGCCACAATGCGAGTTAGGATATTTAAATGGAGTGAGATGTTCAAATTTTGTATCTTGGCAATGGAACCCACAAGGAATTTAAGGCATGTGTAGCTCAGAGGTGTAACTTTAGGAAGGACACACAGGACATGTTAACTGACCCAGCCTACAGGGCCAGGATCCCACACACATGAGGCTCCCTCCTCCCTGAGGTACAAAACCTTTTGGCTATGAATTTCATAGCCCACTGTGCCCCAGACATTAGGCACAAAATTCAGAAAACAACTGCTGATCCTCAGACTCCTGATGAATGATTTCTTCCAATTGGCCTAGTTGTTTTTCAACAATAGGGATGTGGCTGAAAAGACTGAACACACCCAGAGAAATATGCAAAAGGCCCAGATGATGGCAGCGGTTTTGATCACTCAAAGGCCAACAAAGGGGAAACTGGTTTTACTGGACCAATTTGATCCGCGCAGACCACTAGTCCCATGGGTACCTGGATAGGACCAGTGCACCCTGTGGGCAAAAGGGGCACTGGGGGAGGATGGCCATATACACACCCTTTGGGGCACTGGAAGAGGGGATGCCCCAGACACCAGAGAGCCGTGGGGGCCCCTTGGCCATTGAGGGTTTTGCAATCAGAAGACTGAGGGGGCCCAAGGCCCAAAGTGACTCTGCCTAGAGATTCCATCTACATAACTAATGCCTTGCCTCAGGTGGTCACTGATGTAGCAGGCTACTTGATAGAATATAGATGCTAGTGCTATTAGGGGAGCCACTGACTAAAGCTGTCTGCCGGGCTGGACACAACATTAACCACTTGCATGAGTTATCTTACAACAGGAGGTCCTGGTAAAGAACCTAGAACTAACAAGCTACCACCAACCAGAAGATTCAGGAAAGGTCAAAAGGAGAGAGGAGACACTAGTCCATATGCCCTACCAGTTTCCCAGAATCTTCTCACTGGATCCTCTTGGCTGAGCAATTTGTGTGCTACCAGGAACGACCCTGAGTCAGAATGACTGGCCAGAGACAACCCAGAAACTAAAACCATCACCATAAAACCCAAGACTGTGAGCCTTGTGGCAAAGCAGTTCTCCTGGATTCCCTTACCCTGCAGCTCTCTGCCTGGGGACACTTCCCAATAAAATCTCTTGCTTTGTCAGTACGTGCGTCTCCTTAGACAATTTCTGAGTGTCCAACAAGAGTTCACACAGGAGCCCTAGAAGGCATTCCCTTTCCTGTAACAGTGCAACATTCTCAGTCTTAACCTGAAGAATTGGAAACCCTGTCAATCATAAGGAGTGAGGGGGTGTCAGGGAAGAGGCAGGGGCGCACTTTCCTGGAATGCCTTATGTGCAACATCAGTGGCGAATGGTTTCTACATTCCTTGCTGTTTATGCCTGAATGTCGCATCCCTTTAAAGGGAAGAGGTTTATTAACTCAGTTAGGACCCACTCTGCTTCTTGATGGGCAAGAGAACCGCCCTCATCATCTAATGATTCTAACAGAAGGTGGAAAGGAAGAAATTCTGAAGCTAAAGTAGAAGCCTTAGTAGACCTTGGAACGTGGAATATCAAGGTTCTTGTTCAGTTGTTCAGTTGTGTCTGACTCTTTGAGACCCCATGGACTGCAGCATGCCAGCCTTCCCTATCCTTCACCATCTCCCAGAGTTTGCTATGTTCTTTATAGCAAAAAAAAAAAAGACAGAGAAAAAGAATGAAGGAAAAAGGAAAGTAATTGTGGGGGTGAGGTGGGGCCGGAATCACATGTTACAGTTAATTATCATGCTCAGGGTCATTTGATCTAGAAAAGTACCTCATCCTTTGTCTTTCATGACTTTGACGTTTTTGAAGAGTATAGGATACTTTTCTTGTAGAACCTCTTTCGTTTTGACTTGTCTGATGTTTTCTTGTGTTTAGATTTATGAATACCTTCCAAAATTTCAGGACTGTGGCTTTTTTCTGGACTGTTTTAACATTCCAGGTCTATGATCTCTCCTCTATATGTGTAAATAAGAAATCTGTAATGAGTTTAGGGAATTCAATATTTTAAGAAAATCACTTCATTCAACATTCAGGCTGGCTATGACTTATAAAGTGATGTATCCTCCTCAATGCATCATATCTGAGCATATAATGTGTGCTTTTCCTGTTACTGGTGGTGTTAATTTTGATTACTTGTTTAAGGTAATGGTTGTCAGGTTTCTCCACTGTAAATGTGCCATTTCCCCCATTTGCTATTAATAAAAATACTTCGTGGGAGAGATACTTTGAGACTATGCAAATAAGGCTGCCAGACAGATAAAATACAGGAAGCCCAGTTTAATCTGAATTTCCGATAACAGATAAATACTGTTTTTTGTTTTGTTTTTTTACTCTGCCGGATCTCTGTTGTTAGGCGAGGGCTTTCTCTAGTTGAGGTGAGCTGGGGGTTACTCTCTAATTGCGTTGGCTTCTCTTCTTGCAGAGCCAGCAGGCTTTTGTAGTTGCTCTGCAAGAACTTAGTTGTCCTGCCATACATGGGATCTTAGTTCCTGGACCATGGATAGAACCCTGGTACCCTGCATGGAAGGCGGACTCTTAACCAGTGTACCACCAGGGAAGTCGCCAGATGAAAACTTTTTTAGTAAAGTATGACTTGTCTTCCCAAGTTTAATTGGGCATCTTGTATTTTTGTTTGCAAGATCTAGCAAAACTATATGTAAATCACTTGTTCCTCGTCCAACTTCAATCAGTTGTTTTGACATTCATTGAGTCTCAATTTTTACTATGATTTTGCCAAACAGTTGTTTTCTAACTGCACCTTTCTTCTACATATACTAGCTGCTATTCCGTCTTCCTATCTTTCTATCCACTCTTAACAGCGTCTGGCACACAGTAGGCACTCAAGATATTTGCTCAATGAATGAATGACTTGGCCGGGCTTCCCTGACAACGTTTGGCAGGGGCTTGCGTTGCTCAGCCAGTTTAGGCAAGCTCTCCAGCCTTCAGAATCTCGCAGGGTCTTCTCCGAGGTAAAGGAAGACAACGATTGGCTCCTTCAGCTCCAGCGGCCCAACAGACCGCAAGTGGAGAGCGGCAGGGACCAATGGGTGCCGGCAGGAGGCGAGGCCTGCCACGCTGCAGCGGTGTAACCGTGCGGCCAGCGCGCGTATCTTTCCCCGCGCTGACGATGTCTGCAGCGTCCTTTATAACCACTTTGGTCACCCGACTGCTCCGGTCCGCGCAGAGTGGCCGCCTCCATCAACGCTCTTTCCACCTCTCGGCAGTGCGGTAAGAGGGTCGGAGGGCTGGGTCAACGCGGAAAACCGGGGGGAGCTGAGCGCCGGCCCGCCTCGGGACGCCTTTCTGAAGCATCTGGGTCCCGGGCGGTGGTGGCCACCGAGAGGGGTGTGGCGGGGCGACGCGGCAGCCCGGCGTGGCCTCAGCGTGCCGCTGGGGCTCTCGCGCCGCGCTGTGGGCTGAGCCGGGAGCCCGCCTTTCGGAGGGAGCCGGTCTCCGGCCAGCTCCGGGCGTTGCCCTGTCTCGAGGCCAGTCCGCCGGTGGGACAGGGCCCACGGTGTGGAGCAGAGGCGCAGGCGGGCTCTGGGGCGCCACGATTTACGTGGGAGCAAAAAGAAGTCACCGGCCAGGACCGACCTTGGCCGTGAAACCAAGAGCTGGAAAGCCGAGACGTTTTGGCGAGCGCGAGTAACAGTTGTAAGCGAGCAGCCTTCAGCGACCCGCCCCTTCCCGGAACCCTAGCGGCGGAGAGGGTTAGAGCAGTCTGATGAAATCCCCCACAAGCTTTGCTCGCCCGGTACCACCCCTTCCCTCCTCGTCCAGGTTGTGGATGTGGCTCGCGCTGCTCTCCAAGCTGCCCCTTTCCCTCCCAAGCGAATAAACGTGCAGTGGTCACCGGGACTTTGACTGCAGCCCGCCTGGAGTTGGTCAGTGCCAGATCGAGGAAACTGAGGTGGTGAACACCCGGGAAGAGAAGAGGGAAAGCTCTGTTTGAGTTTTCTTAAGGACATTTTAAATATTTCATGATATTTCTGATATTTCACAAATTCCCATTCTAAACATAGATTGAAGAGTTTTGGGGGGAGGGAGAGATGTGATTTCAGTTCCCTAAATCTATGCACCCTCTTTCCTTTCAGTCTTTAGAGCTTATTTGTAACAGCAGCCCCTTTTCCCAGGTACTGTGCTAGGCTGTGCATTATTCAGAGATGCTAAAAAACGGTTCTTTCTTTAGTGGAACTTCCCTACGTGTCAAGGGGCGGAACAGTGTGTAATTTCCAATCAGTGTAAATATGCTATTAGAGATTTTTTTTCCAATGGAGCACAGAATGGGGATTAATGCATTAAAAGAAATATTATTTGAGACTTCCCTGGTGGTACAGTGGATAAAAATCCACCTGCCAATGCAGGAACATAGGTTGGATCCCTGATCAGGAAAGATTCCACATGCTGTGGGGCAACTGAGCGCGTGTCCACAACTACTGAGCCTGCCAGCTGCAATTACTGAAGCCTGCAAGCCCTAGAGCCGGTGCTCTCTGGCCACCTGTGCTCCCGGGGCCACAGAGAAACCCCCACAATAAGAAACCTGCACTTGGCAAGAAAGAGTAGCCCCTACTTGCCATAACCAGAGAAAGCCCTCAGGCAACAGCAGAGACCCAGCGCAACCAAAAATTTAGTTAATTAACATAAAAATATTAATTTATTTGGCCATACTGGGTCTTAGTTGTGGCAAGTGGGATTTAGTTCCCTGACCAGGGATGGAACTGACCCCCTGCATTGGGAGGTCAGAGTTCTAGCCACTGGACCAGCAGGGAAGTCTCTAATCCATTGTTGAAAGATTTCTGGGGAGACGTTCAAGGATTTTCTTAGTCTGACCCTGATCTGCCTTTCCAGCCCCATCTTTTATTACTCTCTGTTCTCCTCCCTCTTCCTCCCTTCCTGAGTTCTGGCCACATGTGGTTCCATGATTGAAAAGAGATTTATAAGGAGCTTCCAATTTGTAATCTAAAGAACTGGAACAGTTTGCTCACACTGTCTAGTAACCAGTGTCCTCCTTTCACTTTTCTGGATGAATAGGTTTCCACATCTCTGAAGGCAGTAAGTACATTTATTATTCAGGGTTCTGATGTATTGCTTTGATTACTGCTAGTTGCTAAAATTAAAACATCTTTTTAAAAATATAGGTCTGCATGTATTCCTTTAGGTGGGTGGGTGGGGGTAGTGTGAGAGTTTTCATGGTTAGAGAGAGAGTATTGTAGACTGTGGGGTATAGAAAAAAAAAAACTTTGGAGGCAGAAGTTTGTGTTTGAATTTTGTTACTATTGTTTCAGTTTCTTGTTCTGTATAGTAGGCTTATTATAATAGTCCCAAGTAACTGAGAGTAATGTATGTAAAACTCTAACTGAAATGTCTGCTGCTGCTGCTGCTAAATCACTTCAGTCGTGTGCGACTCTGTGTGAGCCCATAGACGGCAGCCCACAAGGCTCCCCTGTCCCTGGGATTCTCCAGGCAAGAACACTGGAGTGGGTTGCCATTTCCTTCTCCAGTGTGTGAAAGTGAAAAGTGAAAGTGAAGTCGCTCAGTCATGTCTGACTCTTAGCGACCCCATGGACCACAGCCTACCAGGCTCCTCCATCCGTGGGATTTTCCAGGCCAGAGTACTGGAGTGGGGTGCCATTGCCTTCTCTGAACTGAAACGTCTAGTGTTTAATAAATGTAGAGTTCCATCTCCCTTTGTGTCTTTGTTCACTCATTACTGACTAATTAGTAGATAACAGAACTCTTTCCAAAATAAGTCATGATCGTGAATTGTAAATTATATCTGATACTAATTTTTCATGGAAAATCTAGTACTGTAATCTATTGAATTAGGAAAGTGAAGATGCTACTGATGGATTTTGGTTTTTAATTTTATTTGGACAGTCTTTTCTAGTTTGTTGATTCATAATTTTAAGGGAAATTTTTCTAAACACATCTGTGAAAGCACTTCTAAATGAGTGTTAGCTAATATGGTTAATACATTTTGGATTCCCTGTGGGACTAATTCAGTCTCCATTTCCATTTATTCTGCAGTAGCAGTAACTTTATCTGCCCTTCAGCAAAAGAAGTAAAAAAGTTGGGAAATTAGGTAATGACGCCCTCATAAGGCTGTGTTTCACATTTGGCAGAGTTGTGGTCCGAGGAGGAGGGCTAAAACAATTATATTATGAACAATACTTATTTATTGCATTGAGGCTTTGTTTTGGTTCTTGTTACTGTTTGACTTTTTTTTTAAAGCAAATTGGCATAACATCCAGAACTTGCCTCTGAAACTTGGAACAGTAGTTTCTCCCAGAACCCTGTGTCCTTAGCTTTATTATATCATGCTTAGTCCAAATGTGCTGCTACCATTTTCTCTTAAGTTTACTGCTTTCAAAAGGAACTTTTTAATGAAGTGAAATCTAACTTCACTCAATATTTTTATAGATCCTTATTAGTATATAAATAAATAAATATACCTATTATATTGTTAAAGATGTGTCTCTGGAAATCTAACCAACAGAAGAGAGTTCGAAATTAATTTTTAGTTACTATATATGCTTAGCACTTTATATCTTATTTCATTCAACATAAATTACTATCCTAAGCCCTTTTAAACTAATCTTTCACTGTATTTCTGTCCCAGGACAGGTATTTTCGATATTATCATAGATCAAGAATGTTGCCAGGGGTACTTTATCAGCAAAGCCCTTTTTAAGAAGTTCCCTTCAACCCTAAATCTGAAATGGATTTATAAATATTAATGTGTTTTCTTTAATTTCCTTAATATACCATGAATATATATGAAATGCTGTTATATATTTTACACGATACTAGTATTATCACATAAAATCTTGGTAAAACCTTTTGGTTTGCTATAAAATTGTAGTATATTTAAAAAATGTTTATTTATTTAATTAATTAATTTATTTTCCAGTTCTTAGTTGCTACATGTGGGATCTTAGTATGGCACGCAAACTCTTAGTTGTGGCATGTGGGATCTAGTTCCCTGACTAAGGATTGAACCTGGGGCCCCTGCATTGGGAGCGTGGGGTCCTTTTAGCCACAGGACCACCAGAGAAGTCCATTGATATCATATTAATATCTCAAAAGATGGAAATACAGATTAATATAAGGTTTAGATATAAAATTACTGCATTACATCTAAGCCACCGCGACTTGATTTAAAGTAGATATTTAATCACGATGCAACTTAAAAGCAGGCATTGAAGACTTCTAGACTGTTAGAGCTTTCACATTTTTAATTAACAGTGGCCTGGCGAATTAATTATATCTGACCATACAAAATATCCAGTACCCTGATGTCATCCCTGAGTATTAAATATGTGCTGTTAAAAAAAAATATGCGCTATAAGGGGAAATAGATTGTTCCAGTGTTTCAAAGAATCATATTCTTAATTAGTGTTGAGTTGTAGCATTCCTTATGACACTGGGGACAAAAATCTGAAGGGAAAGTCTTGTTTTCAGTGGGGGTCCTTTTTCTTAAGGTATACCTTCTTGTCCTACTTGAAGTAATGTGAACTTGACTGTACGGATATATGTGGAAATAAGAAAGCCAGGAATGTTCCACGTTGGAACCCAGGAAGAGCTGCATAATCACGTGTTATTAGGGAGAGATAGGCTTTCAGAGATTTGAACATATTTTGAGGCACTACAGGTTCTTCTAGATCTGAGTTGTCTCATTGTCTGTCCCCCAACAAGCAGTTTCTCATCCCTGTGATTCTAGTGTGTGAATGTAGATCAGAGAGAGGCTCTTACTGATCTAGTTCCCTACCACTACTCCTGACACATAAGCTTTTGCACTAACTAGACTGCAGGCCAGCCTAGAAATTGTTGTTCTGGACATCAGATACTCACTCCTGGTGTGTCAGCTGTGGATGGGGTATTGAGGTCTTGTGGTAGAGCACACTGCCATCTATGAGATGGATTTGCCCTAGTCCCCATTCCAATCCCTATTCTTTTTTAAAAAATTAGTTTATTTTTGGTTGTGCTGGGTCTTCCTTGCTGTGTGATGGCTTTCTCTAGCTGCTGCAGGCGGGAGCTACTCTTCGTTACGGTGCACAGGCTTCTCATTGCGTGGCTCCTCTTGCTGCAGAACATGGGCTGTAGGTGTGTGGGCTTCCATAGGGGCAGCTCACAGGCCATGGCGCGATGGCTTCCTGACTGTGCCACATAGGCTTAGCTGCACTGAGGTATGTGGGATTTTCTTGGATCAGGGATTGAACCTGTATCCCCTGCATTGGAAGGTGGATTCTTATCCACCGTACCACCAGGGAAGTCCACAATCCCTATCCTGAAAAAATCTTTTCTAGGAAGAACTATGGAGAGCAGTTGTTGTGTCTAATCTTTGCAACCCCATGGACGGCAGCATACCAGGCTTCCCTGTCCTTCACCATCTCCTGGAGTTTGCTCAAATTCATGTCCATTGAGTCGGTGATGCCATCTAACGATCTCATCCTCTGTTGCACGCTTCTCCTTCTGCCTTCAATCTTTCCCAGCATCAGGGTCTTTTCCAATGAGTCAGCTGTTCCCATCAAGTGGCCAAAGTATTGGAGCTTTAGCTTCAAGCCGCAGTCCTTTCAATGAATATTCAGGGTTGATTTCCCTTGGGATTGACTGGTTTGATCTCCTTGCAGTCCAAGAGACTCTCAAGAGTCTTCTCCAGCACCACAATTCAAAAGCATCAGTTCTTAGGAGCTCAGCCTTCTTTATGGTCCAACTTTTACATCTGTAAATGACTACTGGAAAAACCATAGCTTTGACTATGGACCTTTGTCGGGAAAGTAATGTCTCTGCTTTTTAATATGCTCTGTAGGTTGGTCACAGCCTTTCTTCCAAGGAGCAAGTGTCTTTTAATTTCATGGCTGCAGTCATCATCTGCAGTGATTTTGGAACCCAAGAAAATAAAATCTGTCACTGTTTCCACTTTCCCACCTACTATTTGTCATGAAGTGATGGGGCTGGATGCCATCATCTTAGTTTTTTGAATGTCGAGTTTTAAGCCACCTTTTTCACTCTTCTCTTTCACCCTCATCAAGAGGCTCTTTAGTTCTTCTTCACTTTCTGCCATGAGGGTGGTGTCATATACGTATCTGAGGTTATTGATATTTCTCCCAGCAATCTTGATTCCAGCTTGTGCATCATCCAACCCAGCATTTCTCATGATGTACTCTGCATATAAGTTAAATAAGCAGGGTGACAAAATACAGCCTTGACATACTCCTTTCCTGATTCGGAACCAGTCTGTTGTTCCATGTCTAGTTCTAACTGTTGCTTCTTGACCTGCATACAGATTTTTCAGGAGGCAAGTCAGGTGGTCTGGTATTCCCATCTCTTTAAGAATTTTCCACAGTTTGTAGTGATCCACACAGTCAAAGGCTTTAGTGTATGTAGTCAATGAAGCAGAAATAGATGTTTTTCTGGAATTCCCTTGCTTTCTCTGTGATCCAACAAATGTTGGCAATTTGATCTCTGGTCCTTCTGCCTTTTCTAAACCCAGCTTGTACCTCTGGAAGTTCTCAGTTCACATACTGCTGAAGCCTTGCTTGAAGGCTTTTGAGCGTTACCTTGCTAGCATGTGAAATGAGTGCAATTGTATGGTAGTTTGAACATTCTTTGGCATTGCCCTTCTTTGAGATTGGAATGAAAACTAATTTTTCCAGTCCTGTGGCCACTCCTGAGTTTTCCAAGTTTGCCGACATACTGAGCGTAGCACTTTATCCAGGTCATTAAGCCCTTTTTTCTGTTTAGTTCTTCTGTGTGTACTTGCCACCTCTTCTTCATCTCTTCTGCTTCTGTTGAGTCCCTTACTCTTTCTGACCTTTGCATTTTCCATCCTGCATGAAATGTTCACTTAATATCTCCAGTTTTCTTGAATAGCTCTCTAGTCTTTCCCATTCTATTAATTTCCTCTATTTCTTTGCATTGTTCACTTAAGACTTTCTTATCTCTCTTTGCTATTCTCTGGAACTCTGTATTTGGTTGGGTAAATCTTTCCCTTTCTCCCTTGCTTTTTGCTTCTCTTCTTTCCTCAGCTATTTGTAAAGCCTCCTCAGACAACCACTTTGCCTTCTTGAGTTTCTTTTTCTTTGGGATGGTTTTGATCATTGCCTCCTGTACAATGTTAAACCTCCATCCATAGTTCTTTAGGCACTCTGTCTACCAGGTCTAATCCCTTGAATCTATTTGTCACCTCCATTGTAAGGGTTTTGATTTAGGTCATACCTGGATGGCCTAGTGGTTTTCCCGATTTTCTTCAATTTTAGCCTGAAATTTTGCAGTCGGTATTGTCCAGTATATTGTTTATTGGTTTAACTGCATAACATCATTTAAATATTTAAAAGTACGTATAAATTAAAAGCCAATTCACTAACTGGGAAATGATTCGAAACATGTGACTAGATGCTAACACAGGCAAAATATAAACTACAAATGGCATATAAGCGTAGAGAACAAACTAACATCATAGTGGTGAGAGATCAAATAAAACATTGCAAATTAACATTTTTTTTTTTTTTTACCTACAGTTGTCAGACATCAGTATGCAGGATGATATAGCATTAAGAACCTAGACTCTGGATTCAGAAGAGCTAAACACCTAGTTTATGTCAAGTAGTAGTTATCAGTTACTTAAATTCTCCGAGTTTAATGGTAGTAATTATTTCAATCAAATTTATTTTCTTAAATATGTAGTAGCTGGACACAGATTTACCTCTTGAACCTCTCCTTCAGATTTCATTTGTCCCTTGATTAGGAACTATGTAGTCTTATCTAAACTTTTAGTTTGGGAAAGTTTTTTTTTTCCAGTTTTACTCAGAAGTAATTGACATACATCACATCTTTAGTAACTCAGTGATGAAGAATCCACCTGCAATACAGGAGACGCATGTTTGATCCCTGGGTCAGGAAGATCCCCTGGAGAAGGAAATGGCAACCCACTCCAGTATTCTGCCTAGGAAATCCCATGAACAGAGGAACCTGGTGGGCTACAGTCCATGGGGTCTCAGAAAAGTCGGACATGACTTAGCAGCTTAACAACAACGATTGACGTACATCTCTGTGTAAGTTTAAGGTATACTGCACGATGGTGTGATTTACATACATTGTGAAATGATTACCACGATAGGTTTAGTTAAAATTCATCATTTCATATATACATATGTTTTAAAAAAATATTTATTTAATCTTTGGCTGTGCTGGGTCTGTGTTCCTGCACGCATTCTGTCTCTAGTTTTGGCGAGCCGGGCTGCTCTCTCCTTGTGGTGCTCCAGCTTATCACTGCGGTGGCTTTTGTCTTGTGGCCCGTGGGCTCAGTTGCCCTGTGGCATGTGGGATCTTCTGGACCAGGGATCAAACCTGTGTCCCCTGCGTTGCAAGGCGTATTCTTCTCCACTGGTCACCAGAGAAACCCTCATATAGATATTGTTACAAAAATAAAAAACGTTCTTCTTGTGATGAGAACTCTTAGGATCGCTTACTTTAGCAAGTTTTCTATATATTATACAGCAGTGTTAACTAAAGTCTTCACTGTATATAGTAGATTATGTCCCTAGTGCTTATTAACCTCATAACTAGAAGTTTGTACAGTCATCCTTCAGTATATGAGTAGGATTGTTTCAAGAACCCCAAGGATACCAAAATTGCCAGATGCTCTAAGCCCCTTATGTAAAATGGCATGGTATTTGTATACAACCTATCTTCCCATATACTTTAAATCATCTCTAGATTATTTATTTATAATACCTAATACCATGTACATGCTGTGTAGATACTTGTAAATACAATGTAAATGCTATGTAAATAGTTGCTAGCAAATTCTTGTTTTGCTTTTTGGAATTTCCTTCCAAGTATTTTCAACCCATGGTTGGTGAATCCTTGAATGGGGAACCAATAAATAGAAGGGCCCACTGTGCCTTTTGACAATCTTCTTCCAATTCCTCCTCCCCTTCTACCCAAAGTTTTTGGTATTTAATGACACTTTTGTAGTCTTTATTTATTCTTTACAAAAATTCAAGCTATTTTTTTTGTGATTTTATTGCCTTCTGCAGAAATGAAGCTGTTATCATTTCTGGAAGGAAACTTGCTGAGCAGATCAAGCAGGAAGTGCGGCAGGAGGTGGAAGAGTGGGTGGCGTCTGGCAACAAACGGCCACACCTGAGCGTGGTTCTGGTTGGAGAGAATCCTGCAAGTCAGTCCTATGTCCTCAACAAAACCAGAGCAGCTGCCAGCGTGGGTATGTGTCACTCTCAGAGCCCAACTACTGTTAAATTAATCTGAGGCAAACTCTATTGTAACTTATGATTCTTTTTTCTGCTTAGAAAACCCAAACAGAGGAGGCTAATGTGATTCAACTGAATCCAAATATTTGTCAGAAAGAAATCAGGCTGTATGTTGGGGAGGAGGTTTATAGACTAGGACTGGAGGAATATGGTTGGTTTCTTGGTGTCTTCTGGAATGTAATCTAAATTCTGTTATAGTCTAACTTTGATAAGTGACCTTGAACACCATTTACATCTGCTTTCCTCAACTGAGCAATGAGTCTGTGACTAAAGTATTTGAGCATCTGGTTGAGGAGACCTCAGTGATGTGGCCTAGAATAGTCTTGGATTTGAAGGAAACGACTCTGGCTTCTTTGAAATAGGCTGTGGTTTCTCCACCAATGGGTTCCAAAGCCAATTAAATCATACAGTTTAGACGTGTTTGAAGGTTTGGATGCAGAAGGAGCAGGACTGAGTGATGGGAGGTCTCACTGTACTGAAGACTGTGTGGCCACAGATCAGAGGTGAATAGGCTCAGTTGTGCCCCTGCCTGCCTATCTGTGGGCCAGTGGTCTGAGCACTGTGCGCCTGCCCTTCTGAAGGGCTGTGAAACCACTGCACCATGAGCCCATGGCGTACTCTGCTCTTTATCACTGAGGACTGAGGCCTCCTGCCCTCTTCATTGAAAAACCTTTAGGGTTCCCCAAGCAGCTCAGTGGTAAAGAATCTACCTGCTAATGCAGGAGTCACAAGTTCAGTCCCTGATCTGGGAAGATCCCATGTGCCATGGATCTGCTAAGCCCAGGCACCACGACTATTGAGCTTCTCCACAAGAGAAGCCTTGTTGCAGTGAGCCTGCACACTGCAGCTGGAGAGCAGACCCCACTGACCACAACTAGGGGAAAGCCCACACAGTAACAAAGACCCAACATGGCCAAAAGCAACTATAAACACAATTGTAAAAGAAAACCCTTTAGAACCTCCTGAAACTGGTAAGCTGTGGCTTTCTGAAACTTTGGAATGGGAGGTAGCATGGTATAGCGGAAAGAACATGGACTTTGGAACTGCAAAGACTGGCTTTGTTACTAGCCGGCTTATGTTCCGGTTTCTCTGAGCCTTGTCTATAAGATGAGGTTAATGAAGAATTGATGCTTTTGAACTATGGTGTTGGAGAAGACTCTTCAGAGTTCCTTGGACTACAAGGAGATCCAACCAGTCCTGGGTGTTCATTGGTAGGACTGATGTTGAAGCTGAAACTCTTAATACTTTGGCCACCTGATGTGAAGAGCTGACTTATTTGAAAAGACCCTGATGCTGGGCAAGATTGAGGGCAGGAGGAGAAGGGGACGACAGAGGATGAGATGGTTGGATGGCATCACCAACTCAATGAACATGAGCTTGGGTGGACTCCGGGAGTTGGTGATGGACAGGGAGGCCTGGCGTGCTGCGGTTCATGGGGTTGCAGAGTTGGACACAACTGAGTGACTGAACTGAATTGAATGAAGATTATGTAGAATAATAACATAGAAAGTATCAAGCTAGTACTCTTTTAGTGTTTTTTGTTTGAGAAGTTACTCAAGGTTACCTGTGAGCCTGTTCAAGCTTTTCAGCTACCAAGGTGGTTATGATGATTAAAAGCCTTGCTGATAGCATGGCAGGCAGTGTAGCCTTGCCTCAGTAAATGCCTCTATTTTATTTTATTCTTTTATTCTTCGAATACTTTTGACTAAAATTTTTTTAGAAGTTTTTATTGGAGTATAATTCTTTCTACAGTGTTGTGTTCCTTTCGTCTTATAGCAAAGTGAATCAGTCATTGTTCTTCAGTCACCAGTTGTGTCCAACTCTTTGCAACCCCATGGACTGCAGCACTCCAGGCCTCCCTGTCCCTCACCATCTCCCAGAGTTTGCCCAAGTTCATGTTCATTGAATCGGTGATGCCATCCAGCCATCTCATCTTCTTTCACCCTCTTCTCCTCCTGCCCTCAGTCTTTTCCAGCATCAGGGTCTTTTTCAATGAGTCAGCTGTTCGCGTCAGGTGGTCAAAGTATTGGAGCTTCAGCTTCAACATCAGTCCTTCCAATGAATCCTCAGGACTGATTTCCTTTAAGATTGACTGGTCTGATTTCCTTATTTTCCAAGGGATTTCTGAGTCTTCTCCAGCACCACATTTTGAAGGCATCAGTTCTTCGGCGCTCTGCCTTCTTTATGGAACAGCTCTCATATCTCTTCATGACTACTGGAAAGACCATAGCCTTGACTATACAGACCTTTGTCAGCAAAGTGGATGTCTTTGCTTTTTAACACACTATCTAGGTTTGTCATAGCTTTCCTGCCAAACAATAGTAGTCTTTTAATTTCATGGCTGCAGTCACTATCCACTGTGATTTTAGAGCCCAAGAAGAGGAAAGCTGTCACTGCTTCCATCTTCTCCCCTTCTGTTTGCCATGAAGTGATAGGACTGGATACCATGATCTTAGTTTTTTTAATATTGAGTTTTAAGCCGGCTTTTTTACTCTCCTCCTTCTCCCTCATCAAGAGGCTCTTTAGTTCCTCTTCGCTTTCTGCAATTTAAGTGGTATCATCCACATATCTGACGTTGTTCATATTTCTCCCAGCAATCTTGATTCCAGCTTATGCTTCATCCAGCCTGGCATTTTGCATGATGTATTCTGTGTATAAGTTAAATAAACAGGGTGACAGTAAACAGCCTTTCTCAGTCCTGACCCAGTCAGTTGTTCTATGTCTGGTTCTAACGGTTGCTTCTTGACCTGGGTACAGATTTCTCTGGAGGCAAGTAAGAAGTTCTGGTATTCCCATCTCTTTAAGAGTTTTCCACAGTTTGTTATGAGCCATACAGTCAAAGAAAGTCTTTAGCATAGTTAATGAAGCAGAGATAGATGTTTTTCTGGAATTCCCCTGCTTTCTCTGTGATCCAGTGAATGTTGGCAGTTTGAACTCTGGTTCCTTTGCCTTTTCTAAACCCAGCTTGAACATCTGAACGTTCTCGGTTCATGTAGTGCTGAAGCCTAGCTTAGAGGATTTTGAGCATAACCTTACTAGCATGGGAGATGAGTGCGATTGTTCAGTGGTTTGAACATTCTTTAGTACTGCCCTTCTTGGGAATTGGGATGAGGACTGACCTTTTCCAGTCTGTGACCACTGCTGGGCTTTCCAAATTTGCTGACATATTGAGTGCAGCACTTTAATAGCATCATCTTTGAAGATTTTAAGTAGTTCTGCTGGAATTCCATCACCTCCATTAGCTTTATTGGCAGCAGTGCTTCCTAAGGGCCACTTGAATTCACACTCCAGAATATCTGGCTCTGAGTGAGAGACTACACCATGGTGGTTATCCAGGTCATTAAGATCTTTTTTGTACAATTCTTCAGTGTATTCTTTCCATCTCTTCTTGATTTCGCCTGCTTCTATTAGGTCTTTACCATTTCTGTCCTTTATTGTGGCCATCTTTGGATGAAATGTTCCTTTGATATTTCCACTTTTCTTGAAGAGATCTCTAGTCTTACCCTTTCTGTTGTTTTCCTCTGTTTCTTTGCATTGTTCATTGAAGAAGGCCTTCTTGTCTCTCCTTGCTATTCCCTGAAACTCTGCATTTAATTGGTATCCCTTTCCCTTTCTCCCTTGTTTTTTGCTTCTCTTCTTTCCCCAGCTATTTGTAAAGCTGTGGTATGTATGCATATATCCTCTCTTTTTCGGATTTCCTCCCCATTTAGGTCACACAGAGCGTTAAGTAGAGTTCCCTGTGCTATACAGTTGTTCTTGTTTAGTCACCAAGTCATGTCCACCTCCTTGCAACCCTGTGGACTGTAACACGCCAGGCTCCTCTCTCCATGGAATTTCCAAGGCAAGAATTCTGGAGTGGGTTGCCATTTTATTCTCTAGGGGATCTTCCCTACCCTGGTGTCAAACCCACATCTTCTGCATTGGCAGTTGGATTCTTTACCACTGAACCACCAGGGAAGCCCTGTGCTTTATAGTAGGTTCTCATTAATTATCTATTTTATACAGACCACCTTACTTGCCTCCTGAGAAATCTGTATGCAGGTCAAGAAGCCACAGTTAGAACCAAACATGGAACAAGGGACTGTTTCCAAGTTGGAAAAGGAGTATGACAAGGCTGTATATTGTCATCCTGCTTATTTAACTTATATGCAGAGTACGTCATGTGAAATGCTAGATTGGATGAAGCACAAGCTGGAATATAGATTGCTGGGAGAAATATCAGTAACCTCAGATATGCAGATGACACTGCCATTATGGTGGAAAGTGAAGAGGAACTGAAGAGCCTCTTGGTGAAAGTGAAAGAGGAGAGTGAAAAAGCTGGCTTAAAACTCGATATTCAGAAAACTAAGATCATGGCATCTGGTCCCATCACTTCATGGCAAATAGATGGGGAAACAATGAAAACAGTGACAGACTTTATTTTCTTTGGCTCCAAAATCACTGTGGATGGTGACTGCAGCCATGAAATTAAAAGATGCTTGCTTCTTGAAAGAAAAGCTATGACAATCCTAGACAGCATATTAAAAAGCAGAGACATTACTTTGCTGACAAAGGTCTGTCTAGTCAAAGGTATGGTTTTTCCAGTAGTCATATATAGGTGTGACAGTTGGACCTTAAAGAAAGCTGAACACCAAAGAATTGATGCTTTTGAAAGGCTCTTGAAAGTCCCTTGGACTGCAAGAAGATCAAACCAGTCAATCCTAAAGGAAATCAGTCCTGAATATTCATTGCAAGGACTGATATTGAAGCTGAAGCTCCAATACTTTAGCCACCTGATACGAAAAACTGTTCTCATTGGAAAAGACCCTGATGCTGGGAAAGATTAAAGGCAGGAGGAGAAGGGGATGACAGAGGATGAGATGGTTGGATGGCATCACTGACTTGATGGACATGAGTTTGAGCAAGCTCCAGGAGCTGGTGATGGACAGAGAGGCCTGGCGTGCTGCAGTCCATG